GCATGCCCCCTTCCGGGGATCAAGCCTGAAACCTGGGCATGTGCCCTGACTGGGAATTGAACCAACTGGGGACCTTTTTGGTGCACAGGATGCCACTCAACCAACAAAGCCACATAGGCCAGGACAGGTTGTTTATATTTTTTGTGTTTGAGTTGTAAGAATTATTTACATATTCTGAACACTGGACTTTTATCAGATATATGATTTGCAAATGTTTTCTCCCATTCCGTAGGTTGCCTTTTTAGACTATTTTTTTCTTAAGAGCCAAGCTGACAGCCTTTGTCATTCTCCTGCATTGAGTGTGGAGCACACCTCAGCAATGGAGCAGACACTGATAAAACGTGAAGATAGTTATGAAAGTCTCCTCATTCCTGAAGCTAAAATTTCCTTTTAGTGTCAAATTAGGGTAACATCCCATGGGTTCCTCGGTTTTGACAGAAATGAAGAGTTGAGATTTCTTGTGAACTCCAGCTGGGAGGCTTGGAAAGAGTCAGCAGCCCCGGAAGAGTCTCAGAGAACAAAAGGATAAGAACTAACACCAAATAACACTTATAAACAACAAGTCGGGCTGTGTGAAATGATGAAGGCAAACTCGAAGCCAGGCTTGGAGAGGTGAGAGTGTCTCTTCTCACACTCCAGGGCTGGGGGAAGAGAACAATCCCCACAGGTCCAGGAAGGCGTGACGGGAATTGAGGAAAGTAGAGAAGCTTTGTTGACACCAGAATGCTCTGGATACTCATGTCTGTCTTTTCCAAGAGAAGGTGGGATACCTCGTTTAATGAGCTTGAGACTGTATTAGAAAGATTGCACTGGCCCCTTTGGGGTGGCCTGTTGGAACTTCTCCTCTCAAGTTTCTATGCTGATGAGCAGAAGCTGGATATGGGAGGAGGTTACTTCCCACCCACTGTGTGGTAATTCTGTGTTGGCTTGTATCCAAGGGTAAAAGCATGCTGGTAGAAAAGAGGAACGGTACACCTTTTAATCAGGATCATAAGTCAGAGTATCCTGAGGGCCCATGAAATTAAAGAAATAGTCTTCTTTAATTTAAAAGCTGCTTCTGTAGGTCAAGATCCCGACACAGTAAATGTCCCTAAATTCTGCTGGGAAGTCCAAGCTAAGGGTTCCCAACATTTACTGGGCATCAGCATACCTGGGGCTTTTAAAAATAGAGTTATCTGACATCTTTAGAATCAGAAAGTAGATTGGTGGCTGCCCGGGGCTGGGGTGGGAACAGGGAGTGACTTCTAAGAGATAACAAGGATCTCTGTGGGTGATAGAAATGTTCTAAACTTGAATTGTGATGGTGGTTGCACAACTCTACAAGTGTACTAAAAAACAATGAATCGGGCACCCAAAATGAATGCATTTTAATCTATTTAAACTGAACCTCAATAAAGCTGTGCAAAGAACATAAAGAATAAACTATGAAAGTCGTAGTACTATTCCTGTTTCGTGGTAGAAACAATATTCAGCTGTATTTAGCTTTACAAATACATTAACATGTTAAAAGCACTCATATATTTTCTCTATATAAATTCTTAGTTTCTCGTATAAATTCATATACTATTACACTCAAAAATACAGCTACCTAGGCTTTACCCTGATAAATTCTAATTCAAGTGTTTAACATAGGACTCAGTTGTCTGTATTTCTCTCTCCTCTCTCTTTTTAAAAATCTCTCCAGGTGACTATAAAGGTATAGCCAAGTTTGAGAGTCACTGATGTAAACCAAAAGGGAATAAAACAGGGAAGGCACCTTATTTCTTACTTTATCTTATTTTATTTTACTCCTATCCATTAGGGATCTCATCACAAAGAAAAATTTTCTGTCAAAAAAAAAAAAAATTGTAATCATGAAAAGGGCAGTAACTTTGGGGCCCTGGGACATTAGAAAGTTGGAGATTTTAACCCGGAGTGAAATAACCAGCCTTGAACAAACCGCACAGATGGAATGTCTATCCCCGGGGTCATGCCTGCAGATGCTAACACATCCCAAGGGTGTTCTAGGAAAGTCTGAACTTCAAATACTCTTTCCTTGAAGCCCATAAATCAACAAAATATTTTAGGGGGGAGGACCTGGGGTGGGGGGGCAGGAGAGGGAGTCTTGTCTTTCTCTGTACAAGAACTTGTCATATTTTAGATTCTGAATCATGAGTTAACATTTCAAAAGTCCAGAAAATATAACGCTTTGGCTTCCAAATTACAGCTCACAGAATTAGCTTATAGACTGAGAAATTAATTGACCAAACAATAGCCATGGGCCCATTCCTGATACACCAGGAAAGTAAACTGAGGCAAAAATAGGTGATATTGCTTTTAGCCTTTTGAGTGTGTGTGTATTTTTATATAACTAGAGAGAGACTGGGAATTTGAACTCACATTTTCAGTATTTTACAAAAACTCCCTCAGAGGGTTGTTATAAAGGTTGAACGAGATAATGATACATGCAATGTGCCCAGTCTAGTATCTAGCACGCAGCAAACCTTATCTAGAATTGCTTCCCTAAAGATGAAAATGGGGCCAGTGGTCTGAGATCTGCTTGGAGCAGTTCCAGAAATCTGACTTCTGAACACCACCAGCTCCATTGGAGGAATGTACTGGCTGGGGTCCACATTCACGCAATGACAGCTCACGCTGGTGCAAGGCCAAGTCCAGTTTGATCTCTACCCTATATTTCTTTTGGAAACATGCAAGTAAGTGTCCAGACAAAATCACAACATCTGTGCCTCTCCTGCTGCGGCTAGAAGATGGGAATGAGGAGCAAAATGGCAATCCGTCCTCTGCACCTGGCTGGGTAGATGCCTGTGAACCCTCCATGCTCTAAAGGGGAAATATCTGCTCTGCTACAAAGAGCTAGGAAAACAATTTTCTCAAAAATAAACAGTTCCCAAGAGAGCAATGGTCTGGAAAAATTCCTCTGAGATTCTCTCAGGCTCTGAATTAAACAGTAAGCAACTTTTTAAGCCAACAATTGTGATTCATACCCTCCAAACATAACACACACACTACACTTGCACACAACTCTGAAGAGTCACAGTGGTTCTGAAAATTAGGCAAAACACACACACACACACACACACACACACACACACACACACCCCTCATTACTGCAGCAGGACTCCCAGAATCCCCTACCGGGAGCCCCAGACACGGCACAGCTGCTCTGCCCCCTCTGAGGTCCTACAAATTCTCACAGAATCTTCCCCCTGGAAGCATATCTCCTCCACACAGTAGTACACAGGAAAATAGCCCTATAAATTATGAGCAGGAAGAAATAAAATTTAAAACATTCTTTGTTATTAGTATATCTGTATTTGCTTTTCGTCTCTAATTTGCAAGTACTTATTTAGCTATCTACTCTCTAAAAGTTATTTTAAGAAGATAAAGGTTAATCAGACAAAGACCTGCCTTCAAAATCACACTTATTATCTAATAAGAGTGGTAAGATTTTCAAAGGAAAAAAAAGTAAATATAAGATGATAATGAGCCCTAGAGGGTTTGGCTCAGCGGTTAGAGCGTCGGCCTGCGGTCCGGAGAGACCGGGGTTCGGTTCCTGCTAAGAGCACGTACCTCGGTTGCAGTTTGTGTCCCTTTCACATCGATGTTTCTCTCTCTCTCTCTCCCTCCCACTCTATCTGAACAAAATATAGAAAAATGTCCTCGGGTGAGGATTAAAAAAATAAAAATAAATAAATAAATAAAGATGATAATGATACTGATAATATTTAACAATTAATAAGCTCTTACTCTGGGCATGCACCTCACACACACTACCACTTTCAATGACCCCATGAGAGAGTTATCACCCCTGATCGGCAGATGTGCAAGCTGAGTCTTACCGGGCCTAGGTTCTTTCTTTAAAGGTTATAGTTAATAACAACTAGAATCCATTAACCATACACACGGCTACCTCTATGACATAAGAATGGTGTATTGTATCTCATGCCATTTCTGAAAGTCACATACTTTGACAATGTTTTAAAATTTCAATTAGATCTGAATTGACAGGGTCAAACTCAATGTTTGGAGTTAACACATAACAAAAGACCTGAGTCCCCTACAGACCAGCACACACTCCAGTGTTTAAGGGAAGTAGTTTCTGGATTAGTTTTGTATTATGTTAAATCACAACATTCTCTTATTCCACTTGTCAAGTCATGTGTCCAGTTGCCTTTCAATCTCATTCCTAAATATTCTTGCACAAGACGACTTCTTGGGCCACTTTCCCAGCAATCACAGGGGTTGAATTAAGATTCTGCATATTCATTTATCACTTAGCATTTCTCCGACCTCAACGTCACAATGATCTGGAATCTTGTCGTTCTGATTCTGGTGCCATTTTGAAACCCATCTGTCCAAGCCTTACTAGTATTATAAATAAGGCCCAATACAAGTGATTATTTAATATAAACTGTTAGTGTTAAAACAGATTTGTAGAAAATGACCCCATAATCCATCACCCCTAGTATAAAATGACCCTTTTTATATAACTTTCTAGTCTTTTGTCAAATTTATATTTAACAAAGTTATCACATTTAACATTATAGTGTATGTAAAATTGTGTCTTTTTTCCCCTATAACATGTTGAATCATCTTTATAACCATATTTTACTAATCATGTCTGTATAGTTGAATATTTAGGATGATGGAATGTTTTTGCTACTACAAATATTATCCAACAGATCTATGCATATAACATTTCCAGTATTTTCGGTGTTTTACCTAGGTTCGGTTCCCAGAAGTAAGATTACTGTGTCAAGTAATTTTAAATTTTAAAATCTCTTGATGAACCCTAGCTTTAAAACCAAAAAAAGGGAAAAGAAACCATACAGGGCACTGTCTCTGTTCTGTTGCAGTCATCCGGATTCCCGGAAGACCCTCAGAGCTTTGGTTGAAGGGGGGCCATCTGTTCCATAGATTCCTCTAAAGCCGAGCCCGGCCCGCGTGACCCCAGGCCCCGCGTGACCCCAGACCTGAGGTGTCCAGCCAGCAGCACTCACCTTCTGCCCTCCCACTGCCCTTCTGCCTGCTGTTGCGCAGAGGCAGCACCTCCAGCAACGTGATGCCGGAACTCTCCAGAACATTCACTTCCACCGTCAGCCTCCCCACCAGCTGCTGGGGCCGCACACTGATGACGTGCTCGTACTTCCCAAGCCGCCTCTGCAAGAGCTCTTCATAACTCAGGAAGAAGGCGGCTTTGTCCTTGCTGGGAATGAGGACGGAGGCCCTGAACGTTTCGGTCCCCTTCTCCCTGTGGGCACGAGAAAAGGGACAGAGGGTCGGGGGAAGCCAGGTTCCCTCAAGTCCCCTTGGGGCACCGGCCAAACTCTATGTAACAGTCCTTAGAAATTAAAAGTAAAATTGGCATTGGGAAGGCCTGCACTAGAGGAAGGTGGCAAAGGTTCAAAGAATAGAAATAGTGGAGAATCCAACACTACTGGACTCTCCTGCCTCTCCTGAGTCAGACCCGAGAAGGCGAAGGGGGAAGGGGACTGAGACAGGCCAACTGCTGGAAAAGAGGGCTTTGGGGTCCAGATGTGAATGGCAGTCTCTTCTTTGCGGGAATGGCCAAGTAAACCAGACGTTTTACGTAACTTTAAAATAGCTAGCTATGAGGTTTTTATACCTTGGTAAAGGTTGGTGGATATGTTTAAGGGACAGGTAAAAAGTAAAGGATTACAGAGCATATAAAAAATGCAAATTGCCCTGGCCGGTTTGGCTCAGCGGTTAGAGCGTCCGCCTGCGGTCTGGAGAGACCCGGGTTCGGTTCCCGCTAAGGGCATGTACCTCGGTTGCAGTTTGTCCCCGGCCCTGGTTGGTCGTGCGGGTGGCGGCCACTCGATGTGTTCCTTTCACATCGATGTTTCTCTCTCTCTCTCTTCCTCTCTCTCCCTCCCACTCTGTCTGTACAAAAAATGGAAAAATGTCCTCGGGTGAGGATAAAAAAAAAAAAAGACTGACACTTAAACCCATTATTGTAAAATTTCAGAATAACAGACAGAGAAAACGAATAACAGGAATGGTATTAGACCACATTAAATGCATCATCAGTAATACTGGGTGTTGTCAGGCACTGGAGCAATGTCTTCAAAGTTCAGATGGCAAATTATTCTGAACCTTAAATTTCATAGAGTCAACACTTTAATCAAGGTCTCAGAAAGTTTGCCTCTCATGCACTCACTTTGAGTAAGTTACTACAGGATATACTCCAGCAAACTGAAGGTGAAAATCAAGATAATATGGAATACAAGAAGTAATGAAACCCAACCAGGTAAAAATAAAAAGATATCCCAAAGTAAATATATGTGATGAAACTACAAAGCAATGACAGTCTTCCGAGGTCTGGAGACACCTGTTTCTTCATATTTAACAGCACAGGAATCAGGCTGTGTCTCCCAGTTAGTGATGCCTTCCAGTTGCTGTTGACAATGAAATGGATGTCATTGCTTGCAGAAAGTTGATCATAGCTGTTCACTTAGTCACCATTTCAAAAGAGTTAGTGTCTTGCTAAATGTTAACTGTGACAAAATTAAGTTTTATCTCATAAGAAAATCAATTAGAAACTCCAGGAAAAAAACAAAAATGTATATATGTCGTGCTACAACTAAACTAAACTGTGGCATGATTCTGAACAATGTATGAATTATAAAACAAAATAATCCTGATAAAGACCCTTTGGAGCAGTGAACACACAATGCAGTGTACAGATGATGTGTTGTAGAAGTGTGCACCTGAAACCTGTATAATTTTGTTAACCAGTGTCATCCCAATAAATTCAATAAAAAGATATTGTTGTTGTTTTTCAGGTTAAGTTTTAATAACCTGTTGTGGCAAGGGAGATTGCATACCAGAAGCATCATGGAGCATTTTGCCAAAAAAAGGAGGACACGGGGTTATTATAGGACTGGGGGAAGGGTGGAATGTGGGTAAAGTTATATGAAGCAGTGCTTGGAGTTCACAGAAAAGCAGGGCTGTGTTAAAGCATTTAATATCAGCCTGAACTAAGAAGCAAACTCAAGGTTTTTTGTTTTTAGGAGCTACAAAATTAAGATAACTGGACTTTTGTGTCTGACGACCCCTTATCTGAAGCTGTGGACCTTGGCTGCTTTTCATGATCGAAGTGAACTCATGACTCACATGTTCTGTTCTCGATAACAGGATTGCCAACAGAAAAGTTTCTGACAGCCTATGATTTTAGGGAACACGCTTTCTCAAAACAACATCCTTTTATTAATGAACAAAAAGTAGGTTTGCACATTCACAACATTTTATCTAGATACTAAGATCATTTTTCTCCACAGGGGCTGGTAGAGAGGGAGATAGAATCTTAGTATACCGGATGGCTCTGCAGTTCATGTTAGCTGTGTATCATTAAAAGTAAATGCTATTTCTCGACTTTCAATGTTTAGATTCAGTTTACAGATAAAACAAAAAATGCAAATATCATGACAGATCAGAATTTAAATGTTAGTAACTCTGACAATGCAAAAGTACATGATAAGATAAGGGAAGATTGGGTGCTGGGAATGAAAGCAGAAAGGTAATAAAGTGCAGGAGAGGAAATATTATCGAAGATTGTAGGGCTAGTCTAAGATGGTGTAACTGCTGGGACTGATGAGAGGAGAAGCAATAATAATGTCAAAATTTGGAATGCAGAGGGAGAACAGAAGCATTGTAATTATGCTAAATCCTGTGACTTCACAGCAGAGAATCAACAGAGAATGTCTGATTTTTATCAAGAAATTTGTAAAAATCAAGACTATCATAAAAGTTCAATGACAAAAAAACTACAGAAATATTAGAAGTGATGTTTCTAGGAAGTGGGACTGCTAAAATGTTCTTTTTTACTATTAATCCTTATCTATTATGCTGTTGACCAGGTATATTTTAATTATTGTTATAATAAAAAATAAAAAGAAAATAAATACTTAAAAAAATTTTTTTTAATTTTTCAGTGATCCCACTTCTAGGAATATATCCTAAAAATCCTGAAATGCCGATCAGAAAGGATATATGCACCCCTGTGTTCATAGTAGCACTATTTCCAATTGCTAAGATCCAGAAACAGTCCAAGTCCCCATCAGTAGATGAGTGGATAAAAAGCTGTAGTACATTTACACAATGGAATACTATGCAGCTGTAGAAAAGAAGGATCTCTCACCCTTTGAGACAGCATGGATGGAACTGGAGATTATTATACTAAGCAAAATAAGCCAGTCAGAGAAAGACAAGTATCACAAAATCTCACTTATAGGTGGAATCTAATGAACAAAATAAACTGATAAACAAAACAGAACCAGAGACATGCAGGCATGTCTAATGAATCTCAGATGGAAGTGGGAAGTGAGAAGAGATTAACCAAAGAACTTATATGCATGTAGGCATAGTCCATGGACACAGACAATAGTACGGTGAAGCCCGGGACCGACTGATGGGGAGAGTGGGGGGAGTGGGGTGGAGGGGGTCAGTGGGGAAAAAAGGGGGGATATCTGTCAACAATAAAGACAAATTTTTTTAAAAGAAAATACACACATAAAGAAAGAAAAGAGATCAAGATGGCTAGGCAGAAAGGTAGAAAATTTGACACTTTGCTAAAATGAATTTTTAATTCCTTAGTTTAATGGCACTTACCCATTATCTTCTGTGGTTTTATTCCTTTTCTCTTTTACCTTATCACCATTTTTCTTTTCTTTCTCTGTAATTTCTCCCTGATATACCTTGTCTCCAATTAGCCTGAAAATAAGAGACAGCTGGGTTAGCAGCTTACAGTTCCAAGACAAATGCAAACAGGGATCCCATAACCATGACAACAGTAGAAAATATTTTTATTTGCCTCTTGGATATGCAGAAACTACATTCCAAACCAGGGCATTACCCTTGAATCATTCATTTCATTCTAGGGCAATGTTCAACAAGTACGAATGGTAAAACCTAACCCCAGGTGCCTCTATTATTCTTCAGGAAGAAATCAAAAGATCTGCTCAAACAAACTTCCACGATGATTCACCAACTTGAATCTTGCCCAGGCCTAAAATTCCAAGCAAACACCTCCCCTCTTTTGCATATCTTTATCATCCACTGGGAAAAGAAGACGTATAGCTAACACTGCCAAGGTTTCATGCTGCCTCGTCATTCAGAGCTCAGCCTAAACATTGCTTCTTCTGAGCCATCTCACTGATTTCCCTACCTCAACAAGCCCCTCTCTGTTCTGTTTGCCATTTTTATTGCATTTGCTACAGTCTGAAATGATCTCGTTTATTGGTGTGTTTACTCATTATTATTATTATAACATTTCTGGAGCAGAGCAGCATGTCTCTTTCATAGAAGTGTACAATCACTTTGTAGAGTGCCTGGCCTGAAGTGGGTACTCATTTCTTGGAGCGAAGGAGAGAAAGAAAGAGGAAATGAAGAGGTCCTAGAAAGGAGGAAGAAAGGAAGAGAAAGAGGGAAGAAGGGAGAAGGAAGAGAAGGAGGGAGGGAGGGCAAGAAGAAATGAATCAGCCTTTTGACCCCTGTACCATCCTCCACTGGGAAAGAAATTCTTACAGTCAAAAGGCTGTGGGCCACACATCATTCTCCAGCTCACCCTGACCACCCTGCACAGAAGTCATTCCGGGGTGTCTGATCAGTGTCACCTACGTAGTGAAGTTGGTGATGAAAGCGGCCGCTGGAATCTGCATCAGAAACTCAATCTCTTGGTCCTCAGAGCCTCTGTTCAGCATTCTGCAGGAAACCGTAGTGAAGGCATAGCGAGAAATAATGGTCGACTTCACCGAGAATTCTGTCATCAAAGGTTTGGTTTTCTGTTGGAATTGAAACACATTATTCTCATTGATGTGCGAAATCATGATTCAACCATTTGGGGTAGAAGTGGGTCTTTTTTGTCCATAAGAGAACAAATCTTTGATTTGGGCGACTTTGGCGTGTGATTCTTCACCTCTCTGTCTTTCCTGACCTTCCCACTTTTCACTCCCCCACTGGTGAGACCGCCATGAACAACCAGTTTATGACGTAGAAGCAGATGTTCTCACCTAACTTTAACAAACACAGGCAGTTAAAATTTCCAGTCTGACAGAGACTGTACATTGCTTAAGCAGTTTAATGAATTATTAGAATTTTAGAACTGTGTGAAGTTTGTAATATTTTTCTGTTATAAATGTTTGGATCGCATGTATGGGATCACCAAATTGATCAAAAGTCAGAGCATGCCTAAAGAAGTTCTCCTTTTCAAACTAATTTCAATATCCACTTAGAGACACTACAATCCCAGCTTTCAACCATTTGGGCTACAATCGCATTATTGTAAAACGGAAACCGGTACTGAGCTCAAGAAAATGTTTGGGGAATCAGAATTCAGAAAAAGGAAGCCATATGCTAATTAAATTTACCCTGAAAGCCTCTCATAAGGACAGTATCTGCTCCTTTAAGATGAGGTTTGTTTCGTGGACATGGACAACCGTGTGGTGATAGTGGGGGGCAGGGGGAGAAGGGGGTGTGGAGGTGGAAGAAGATATAGAGGGGATAAATGGTGATGGAAAAAATAAAACAAAAAAGTGTGTTGATCCCTGGTCTACACTATTTGAACAGATAAGGTCCTGATATCCATCGGTACACATCTTTACTGATTGGTGTGTTTTAGGAAGAGATCACAAATTAATTGCCCATAGACATTTTTATTTGACTTGCACAATCCATAAAAGTTTTCAAGTTTAGGTGACAACATTTAAAAATTGGGAAAGGTCACATAAAAATCCATAATGCCCGCTCCCTTTTTTATCCTCACGCGAGGACATTTTTGCACCCATCTTCAGATAGAGCGGGTGGGAAGGAGGGAGAAAGAGAGAGAGAGAAAAACATCAATGAGAGAGACACATCGAGTGGCTGCCACCCACACGGCCACAACCAAGGCCGGGGACAAACTGCAACTGAGGTACGTGCCCTCAGCGGGAACCAAACTGGGACTCTCTGGTCCGCGGGCCAACGCTCTAACCGCTGAGCCAAACCGGTGAGGGCCCCCCTTTTTTTTTGAAACACAAAGTGGGGCCACTCTGTGCCTCCCGGCATGAGCAGGAGCTGCTAGCTCTAATGGCAGCTGCCTCTTGAGGTCAGAACCAGTACTTCCAGCTCCCCAGGCCCTGCCAACCCCGACTGTCTCACTGATGCCGAGGCTGAGAGTGAGTAGCCATTTTCACTGGGATTTCTCTTATTCCCAGCCTATTTCACTTATTGATGTCCTCTGTTCTACTAAATTATAAATGCCCACAATTTGCACACCTATATTTACAGCAGCATTTTTCACAATAGCTGAAATGTGGAAACAACCCAAGTGTCCATTGGATTAATAGACAAACAAAATGTGGTCTGTCCATACAATGGGATGCTATTCAGCCTTTAAAAGGAAAAGAATTCACCCGGCCAGTGTGGCTCAGTGGATGGAGTGTCCTCCCATGGACTAGAGGTCCTGGTTGGATTCCCAGTCAGGGCACATGCCCATGTTGCAGATTCGATCCCCAGTAGGGGGCATGCAGGAGGCAACCTATTGTGCTTCTCTCTCACATCAATGTTTCTATCTCTTTCTCCTTTCCTCTCTCTCTCAAAAAAAAAATCAATGAAAAGATATTTAAAAGAGAAAAATTTCTGACATGTGCTACAACACAAATGAACTATGAGGACATTATGCTAAGTGAAAAAAATCAGACACCAAAGAACAGATACTATGGGATTCCACTTATATTAATTTACTAGACAGAAAGTAGAATGGTGGTTTCCAGGGGCTGGGAGAGGGGGAGAGAGGGGAGTTACTGTTTACTGGGTACACAGTTTCAGTTTTGCAAGAGGAAAAGAGTTACGGAGATGGATGGGGGTGATGATTGCGTGACAGTGTAAATGTACTTAACACCACTCATCCGTACACTTTAAAGTGTTAAGGTAAATTTAATGTTATGGGTATTTTACTACAATAACAAAACAATGAAAGAAAAAGTAATTTATTTTTAAATGGCCACAGATTCTTTGCTTTTCGTGTCACTGGGAGCTGGGGTTCAAGTCACTTCCCTTGGAATCTGGGCCTTCGTGACTCGCTTCCCCTTGAGAACCCACAGGAAGTGATGTCCCGGTGCTCCCAGGCCAGGTCACAGGGAGCCTCGCCATTTCAACTCGAGTCTGTCGGAACAGCTCTCCGGAGGCTCTGAGTCACCACGTCGGGTGAGACTGTCATAGAGAGGCCGGGCGTGGGCACTGCAGTGGCCGCGGCAGTGAAGCCCAGCGGCCGTAGCACCCAGCGACCTCCTTCGACGTCATGTGGCCAGAAGACAGCTTCAGCCCAAACCCTGCCGCACACCTGGCGCAATAATGGTCGTGGCTTTAAAGCTCCTGAGTTTGGGGAAGATTTTTATACAGCATAAAACTGGAACACCTGCCCCGCCTCTTTAGCCGGTTTAGGGTTTGCAACCCTACTGTCATGGGGCTTGCACTTGAGTGCGATTCAGTCATTTTCTCAGTGATTCTTAGCGTTCCGCTCTCTCTGATCTCTACGTGTTTTGTTTTGTTTCGTGAACCAGACTTCTGCATATTAGAAACACCCTTGAAATTTTTCCGGAAGAAGTTACAGTATACATTATAAAGATGAAATATATAGAATAAGATTCTCGCCCTGGCCGGTTTGGCTCAGTGGTTAGAGCGTTGGCCTGCAGTCCGGAGAGACCCGGGTTCCGTTCCCGCTAAGGGCATGTACTTCGCTTGCAGTTTGTCCCCGGCCCTGGTTGGTCGTGAGGGTGGCAGCCACTCGATGTGAACCTTTCACGTCGATGTTTCTCTCTCTCTCTCTCTCCCTCTCTCTCCCTCCCACTCTATCTGTACAAAAATTGGAAAAATGTCCTCAGGTGAGGATAAAAAAAAAAAAAGAATAAGATTCTCAGGTCCAATCCCCTCACTTGACCAATGCAGGTCAAAGGTCACACCGGAAGGAGGGAATAAACCCAGCTCTGGAACCTGGAGTCTCTGGCTGCCAGTCCTGCCTCTTTCATCAAGGGTTCACAGAGGAGCCTGGCCATTCAAGGTTTTCCCCAGCAATCATTGTTAGATGGGCCATAAAATATAGAACTCCAGAGCATGCCAGATATAACTGTCCTTGTTGCCAATTCAAAACTTACCCGTGAACCTCAGTTATCGTCCATTAAATTGTCAGCGTTCAAGACAAAGGACGTTAAGCTGAACTCGCTCTGCACTGTGTTCATATTCTGATATTTTCCAAAAATTCTTATCAGCCTATCACTGAACTCTTTTACATAAAAGCAGAGTACTGTTAGGGGAAAATCGTGTTACGTTCACATCTTAGATAAGAGTGTACAGCTCTAACTGTATCAAATTCCAAATAATTTAGCCTTTAGTAGAGAGTCCTTGCCTAGTATTATTTTTTAAATAATTAAAAATCTCCTTCTCTTGGTACATTTGTGACTATTGGTGTCATGTTGATTTGCTGCCCTTTATAAGATAATTATCAATTATAATTTTACTGAACTTAAAATGCGAAAATTAGAGATGCCTGACAAAAGACTAAGTTTCCCTCTACTGTGGTATCTTCTTCTATCCTGAATTAACATTATGGGTATAGTAGAATTTTCCACAATGTTACATCACGAATAGGAGGCATAATTTATGGATCCAAAAGACAGGCTGGGGAAAGTTTTCAGAACTATTTTAGTTTTACTGCTTCTGCCTGGTTACTGTGTTCCGAAAGGAGCTTGTGCTGTTGCTTTGGAGTCTCAGCCGGTGCCCTTCTGTTCAGCTCCCTCGGTCTGCAATCCACTGAAGTCAGGTAGGTGCGAATCTGTCCCTTGCTGCCCTCACGTACCCATCCCTGATCCCTGTCCCTACCAGACTGTAAACACGCGAAGAACAAGAACCAAGACTTGTTTTTTTCTTTCTACCCACAACTCTCAGCATAGAGTAAAACTCAAAAATATCTATGGAATTGAATTGGATTTTTCTGAATCTTAAACAATTAAAGAATAATGCATACCCCGGGAAAAGGAATGGTAATAAACTAGTATTTATTAAACACTGCGGTAGACTGAATTCTATAAATGATGGAGAAGAAATATTACATGTGGTTCCTTCTCTCAAGGTACTATGATAATACTGAGAAGAAAGTGCACCTTACGGGCTATTAGTCCTCACAGTTTCAGAAGAAAGAGAAATCAGCGAGGACTGTAAATATAAGAAAGGGTTATAAAACAGACCTAGACTATGATGTGGTGAAAGAGAACAAAAAGAACATTCTAGAAACACAAAATTCATGGAAGTCAGAATGAACCACATCCCATTCCTGGAAAAAGAATAGAACAGTTTAATTAGAAAGAAGGGTAAATTGTGAGGAGAGTATTGGACAGGTTTGCCAAATTGTCAGAAAATGGACAACCCCCAAAACTTGGACAAAACGGACAAAACTTGGAACGGTCAATATTTGTGAAAGTCTGTCATAAAGGGAAAGCTATAAAATGGTTGCCTGAATTTTTCCCAATGCACAGTTCTAAAAAAATCCAACCTCTTTCCATTTTGATACTTAACTCATTTCTTCTGGAGATGTCAACTGGAAAATCGGGGGCAAAATTCAAGTCTTCCTGTGACATAATAATTTCTTCATTATTTTTCTACAAAAGCTAAACAGATGGAAAAACAGTTTGAGGCAGGGAGTGTCTTAATTAGCTTCTCAAGGGACCAAACGTTTCTGTGTGACTCATGTGCGTCACTTAAAATCAAGCCACCCAGAGGATGTCCTGAATTGCCCAAGATGCCATCTGGAAATGTAACTGAGGAATGTTCGCGACAGCATTTGCCAGAAGTCAGGCCTCTTCCCGGAAGATTAACCTTTTGTTGTTTTATTCTGGTCTCCTGGTTCTTCAGTGATTATTAGGAGAGATAATTTTGGAGGTGGTAGAGAACCTCAGAAATCATCTAACTCAGCTCCCCCTCACCTTATGAAGGAAAAGCCCGGGGCTTGGCAGTTGGCTGAGGAAAACAACAGAGCCTGTGTTGTTATTACATGAAGCAGAAGACCTCCAGATGAGACCCCTCCCTGACGAAGCACCTGTATTTGTCACCTTCGAGAAATTACCCCTCTGACAGAGGGTGCATTAGCTCTGGGTTGCCTATCTGCGGTAATACATTCTACTTCACAATATTTCATTACGTTTAGAAGAGAGGAAAGATAAAATGCAATCATCACTTTTCTGTTGGAGAAAAACCCACTCCATACACCTCCCAAAAAAAGATAAACCATGGTGGTTAAAGTGGAGAGTAGGGAGACAGACACATGTATAACTAACCCTCTTTGAGGTGATGACACCCAGCACTGTGCTACCTGCTGTACTGACTATACTTTCTTATTTTCTATATTCTTCTTATTATTTTTTTTAATCCTCACCCGAGGATATTTTTCCATTTATCTTCAGAGTGGGAGGGAGGGAGAGAGGAAGAGAGAGAGAAACATCGATGTGAGAGAGACACATCGACTGGTTGCCACTCACACAACCCCAACCGGGGCCAGGGGACGAACCACAACTGAGGCACGTGACGTTGGCCAGAATCAAATCCGGGAGTCTTTGGTCCGTGGGCCAACACTAACCGCTGAACCAAACTGGCCAGGGCTCTTATTTTCTATATTCTCGATGATCTGGTATTTGGGGCCATGATCCCAGGGCTAGCTAATTTCTGCAGATAGCAAACAACTCTCCTATCAACACACCTTCGATATACAACCAACCAGTCCAGAGTGCACACTCCCAACCACCTCCTTTACCAAACTCTCACACATTCAGCCAATATTCGTCTGCCCTAAATCACCCCCAGACAACTAGGGACCACCATGGTAGTCCAGAGCCTGCCAAAATTATTCATACTGTCCAATCCTAAGCTTATTCACCAATTCCTTCCTGCAAAAACCCAATAAAGGCTCTGGGCTATGCTCTCCTGTGCCCTTCTGCCTCCTGAACGACCCTGTGCTTCCCCGAGTGGCCCCGTGGGGTGCGCTGTGCCCCTGCTCCTACAGCTGTGAATACAAACTTCTTCCTTCATGATAATCATTTCCCTGTCTGCCTGTCTCACCATACCTGCTTAAAACAAACCCACGCTACAATTTTAGTATATCTGCCATGAAGAGGATGCTAGAAGAAGATTCCATGGGTAGGTTAAACGATGACAGTGAATCGTTTTAGGAAAATCAGGTCAGTATCTGTTAAGCAGCATGGAGACTCACACAGAAAGACACCCTGCTTTTCAAACTATAAACATTTTTTGTGTGTGTGATGTCAGAGAGCTTCAGAAAAAGGTTATCTAATTAATTAAGAATGAAATCAAGCAAATCCCTAAGGTCCATGAGCTGGCAGAGATAATGAGCACCAGCTGTTGCCACCCACATTCTATTCATTAATTAGAGTAGAGGACATTCAGATTAGGATGGCACAGCTGAGTATAAACTATAAGGAGACTCATAGGGTAGACAGGCTGCAGAGCCTGGCTGGAGCCAGACCACACGGGGCCTCATATGTTCTTAGAATTAATCCTACATGTGATGCGGAATCATTAAAGACATTTGTAAAAGAAAGTGAAGCATCAGGTCTGCTGCGGGTACCAGCTGAATGAGCAAATCAAGTTCATGCGAAAAAATCATAATACATGTAAAAGTGAGACTTTTAAAATTCCTAGAGATTTCTAAATATGTCTGGGCAATTACATAAACAATCTTAGTCATGGGGTTAAGAAAACTTTTGTAATCAAGAATGAAAACTCAAAGGCTATAAAGAAAAGATAAATTTATCACTTAGAAACTTAAAACTTTCAACTGGTCAATATACCATAAACAAAGTTAATAGACAAATAACATGTTTAGGAGAGAATTCTTCCAACTTAGAAGACAGAGTATCTGTAACATACAAAGATATCTGAAATACTGATAATTAAGGGATAAGAGAGAAATGAATCTAGGATCTGAAAAAATCAATTCACAGCAGAACAACTCTGAAAGACCAATAAATATATAGAAAAATGCCCAAACTCGTAAGTATTTAGGGAAATGCAAGTTAATGGAACAATGAAAAATCACTTTATATCTAAGAGACTGGCAAATCAAAAAAGAGTAGTTATATTTAGTGTTGGCAGAAGTGTGCATATTCATCATGCTGATAGAAATAAAGTCAATGCAAATAGTATTAAGAGTACAGCATTCAAAAAGCACTCTGTCATACAACTCCACAAAAGGAAGACAAAGAACCCAATTAAAAAATGGGCAGAGGAGCTGAATAGACACCTCTCCAAACAGGACATACAAATGGCCAAGAGACATATGAAGAAATGCTCAACATCACTAATCATCAGAGAGATGCAAATTAAAACAACAATGAGGTATCACCTCACACCTGTCAGAATGGCCGCCATCAACAAATCATCAAACAACAAGTGTTGGCGAGGGTGTGGAGGAAAGGGAACTCTAGTACACTGCTGGTGGGAATGCAGACTGGTGCAGCCGCTATGGAAAACAATATGGTGCTACCTCAAAAAATTAAAAATTGAACTTCCATTTGACCCAGTGATCCCACTGCTGGGAATATACCCTAAGAAGCCTGAAACACCAATCAGGAAGAATATATGTACCCCCATGTTCATAGCAGCACTATTTACAATAGCTAAGATCTGGAAACAGCCCAAGTGTCCACCAGTAGACGAATGGATAAAAAAGCAGTGGTACATATACACAATGGAGTACTATGCAGCGGTAAGAAAGAAAGATCTCTTATCCTTTGAGACGACATGGAGGGACCTGGAAAGTATTATCCTAAGTGAAAGAAGCCAAGCAGAAAAAGACAAATACCACATGATCTCACTTATATACGGAATATAATGAACATAACAGTCTGAGGAATACAGTAGACCCAGACACATGGAAGTAGGGCACAGACTGACATCCCTCAGAAGAGGGGATGGGAGGTGGGGGGGTGGGAAGAGATAAACCACAGAACTTATATGCATGTATGCATGACCAATGGACATGGACAACTAAGCCAGGGACAGGGTGGAGGGGGGGTAGGGTGAGGGGTGCCAATGGGGTAAAAAGGTAAAATATCTGTAACAAAAAAATAAATAAAAATTCATAAAAAAAAAAAAAAGCACTCTGAAAACATCTATCAAGATTTAAAATATATATGCACTTTGATCCAGCAATCCTCCTACTGAAAATCTAGTTAAATTATATTAAACTCAGCCACATAACAGAATAACAGAAAGTGTTTGTAGGTGTTTAGGGGGAGGGGCAGGACTTGAATACTCATCAATAGTAAGAATGCTCAATAAATTATAGTGTGCCAACAACATGGAATATATCTCACCATCTAAATGAATGAACAGAGGTAGGCCAGGTGAAATTATGTTGAGTGAAAAAATAACAAATAGAAAACTACATACAATTGAGGAGGCAGTTTGGTGTATTAGTTAAGAGCAAAGACTCAGAAGCCACGCTGTTGGGGCTCAAATTCTGGTTCTTGCCCCTCTTAGCAACTGCGTAGTTTAAAGCAAGTTATCTCTAAAGCTCAATTTCCTCTTCTGTAAAATGCTTCAAAGAATTGTGGCAAGGGTCACTGAGTTCCAACACATGAAGCCCTTAAAACAATGCTTGGCACTGCCCTGGCCGGTTTGGCTCAGCGGTTAGAGAGTCAGCCTGCGGTCCAGAGAGACCTGGGTTCGGTTCCCGTTAACAGTTTGCCCCCGGCCCTGGTTGGGTCGTGCGGGTGGCAGCCACTCGATGTTCCCTTTCACATCGATGTTTCTCTCTCTGTCTTCCTCTCTCTCCCTCCTACTCTATCTGAACAAAAAAATGGAAAAATGTCCTCGGGTGAGGATAAAAAAAATGCTTGGCACATAGGAAGCACTTAGTACACATTAGTTGTCATCATAGAATCCCACTGTTTGAAAGTAATAATCAGGACTCTCACAGATGCAAATGTATGTAAGGTCCCCTTCTTCCCCTGTTCTGGTATTTGTCATCTTTTCCATTACTAATACACTTACAATTTATTATTATTTTTTCTCTGTCCCACCCCCCTTAAGAATTCAAGCACTATGAGGGACAGGTCTGTGGTCTGTCTTGTTCATTGGTGTATTCCCAATGCCCAGCCCAGTGCAGGACAGACAGTAAGCATTCAAACAATTCCTTGTTGAATGAATGCCTGAGTTGCAACCTGTTAGTCCCCAGCATGCACTGAGAGCTCTGCCCAACTTGTATCACATGAAGCTTTACTCTACAGATGTGAATTCTTCATTTGCTTTAGCTGTTTGCTTCACAAGGAAGCCTTTGTTTTTGTGTAAGAACGTCATAAAAAAGTAAAGGGTGAATTTAGGTGTGTGTGTGTGTGTGTGTGTGTGTTAAGAAGGCCTTAAAACTTCATACTTTGTCTTTACAGTCCTACTGAAATAATCAAGTGTCTTTCCAGAAAGAAAAATCCACTTAAAGGAAGTCCTATAAAAGCTATGCTGCTTCATGTCAGAATCCTTCTACAAGCAGCTTTATAAGCTTTGGCGGAATTACAAGCAAGTTAGTGCCTAGCTCAAAATAGACCAGTGAGGGGACAGGTGTAGGATCACCATGAATATACATACCAGCCTTTGCAGCAGCCGGAGTTGCCTCGGGACCCTGAGTCCAACCTATAAAGAGAAGAGTCATGAAATACGATTGTGAGGTCATTCTTAAAGAAGTCAGTTACACGAGGAGGTTACAATCCATTGAAATTCACAGAAAGGACTATCTATCCTGAAAAGCAGTTTTGATCTTAAATCAGAAAGCTTCTAAGTCAGAATTTAAATTCGTTCCTCCCAGACCTGTTTGACTGCTGAACCCATGATGTCACACTACCTCGTCGTCTGAGTGTCCTTAAATCTGTTAGAGGATGGATGAAATGATGAGAACAGGACGTTCAACTGTATTGTTGCATTTTATTTGGGGCTTGGAAATAAGCTCTTTGGCTGTTGTGAACATTACAATAAGTAAGTCTGCTCAGCTTCACTCAATGATTCAACTCAAAACTCTAGGAAACTCTGAAAGCAAAACTGAACTTGAATTTTCTTATTGCGTTTTTTTCTTGATGGTTTGCTGCTGTGCTTTCCCACATGACGAGGAGGAGCATGAGAAGATAATATCCTCATTTTCAGAATTCATGCTGAGGAACCAGCCACTCTGGACTAATTTGCAAGTCCTAGCTGGATGTTGAACTTGACTCATGGCAAATCACTGTTTCAATAACTAAAGTGTGAGGTATTGCTGCTGTGTGTGTAAACCATCCTTTCTGGAGGCAATTTGACAATGTAGATCAAAACTTGAAAAATATCTCTAGGTCTTATGTATAGCTTTTAAAAACAGCTTTATGTGGTATAATTTCAAGTACATAATTCAATGTTTTTCATATATTCGTGGAGTTGTGCAATGATCACCATAATCGATTTATTCCAAAAGAAACCCTGTACCCCTTGGCTGTCAGCTCCCAACCCCTGCGGGCCCTAGGCTACCACTGATTGGCTTTGTCCCGGTAGAGGGGCTCATGCTGGACATGTCACATAAATGCAATCAAATAATACGTCTTTTATGAGGAGTCTTTTTTCATTTAGCATAATCTTTTCCAGATTCTTCCATGTTGTAGCATGTATCAGTACTCATTCTTTTTTGTGTCTGAATATCACATTGTGTGAACATACCACATTTCGTTTATCCAGTCATCAGCTGACGGACTTTAGGTTATTTCCACTCTGGGGCTGTTATTTGGGCATTATGTGGAACTTGCATGAAAATTCACACACAAGTCTTGACATTGGGTATATGTTTTTAAACCTGGGAATGGAATTCCTGGGTCATATGGTAAATTTAACTTTTAAAAAATTGCCAAATTGTTTTCAGAGTGGCTATCCCATTTTACATTTCCACTATATGAATGTATAAGAAAATTATCTGCAGCTTTTCAAACAATTGTTAATAATTAGAAATAGCCTAAACTATCCTTAAAAAGTGGTTTAGTTAAATATATTGTGATACACAGATTAGTTAGAATACAGCTATTAGAAATAATGATGTGGATCTATATACATTGACATCAATAAATGTTCATGTTACTGGACTCCAGTGCTGTCCACCAAATATTTCTCTAGCTCTCTGCTGGACGTATTGCATTTCCTGGCCCCCTCTTGGCACAGTAGGACCATGTGACTAGTGCTGGCCAATAAGTTATGAGTGTAACACTTGTCACTATTGGGCATGTGTTTAATTACAGATATGTGACCCTGCAGAAATGTCTTTTCTTTGTGGCACAGTAATGAGCAGCGTCTGGGATGAGAGCTGCTCTGTCAAGCCCAGGTTCCCGAGTGATCACAACGGGCATACCTCCTCCGCCACCAGCACAGATGGACAAGGTGGACAAGAGAGAAATAAACGTTTGCCATGTGAGACATTGTGATTGGGGTGTTGTTACCACAGAACAGCCTAGCCAATCCTGACTGATAAACTGGTGACACGTGTTTACATGATTAAATCAAGTAACAAAAACACTATATCTAACATGACCTCATTGTTGTAAGTATCAGTGTTTGTATGTGCAGACCGGGCACCGAAATGCTAATGGTACTACTTCCAGGTGGTTGAATTCTTTTCCTTTAAACTTTTCTGTATCACTTCAGTTTTTGACAAATTAGCCATAATTACTTCCAATAAAAGAAAACACATTAAAAAAAGATATTTCCAGCCCTGGCCGGTTTAGCTCAGCGGTTAGAGGGTCAGCCCATGGACCAATGAGTCTTGGGTTCGATTCCGACTACGGCCACATACCTCGGTTGCGGTTCGTCCTCGGCCCTGGTTGGGGTCGTGTGGGAGGAAACCAGTCGATGTGTCTCTCTCACGTCAATGTTTCTCTCTCTTTCCCTTTTTCTCCCCTCTCCTTCCCACTCTGTCTAAAGATAAATGGGAAAAAAAATATCCTTGGGTGAGGGTTAAACAAAAAAAAAGATATTTCCATTTGTAAACTAAAAGTATAACAGAAACTGTTTTAATCCCCATCCTCTCCCTGCTCCTTCCCTCGCACCAAAATACTACTGTAAATTACCTTTATAAGCTACTGTAGAGCCTCCTATTTCACAGAACATGGAATTGAAAGATATAATAGAGGACTTAGGTTGACATCTGCCCTGACTCCAAATGAGAACCCAACAATTGCTAGGAGGATACTGGTTCTATTTCTAAAATGAGGCGGAATGTGTGAGACTGTTCAAGTGAAGTCACAATAAGCACCCTGGGCAAGGTGTTTATCAGTTCTGCAGAGTCATCTCTGGCCTTCCCATCCTGAAACTGTGGATCTAGCTGGGGACCACTTAACATAACTCTGGTCAGAAGGAAAGCCCAGCTACCCTCAGGTATTATGTTCTCTGGTTGACCTAAAGTATTTTCTTTGAAGTTTCCTCCTTTGTAAAATAAGTTTTTCAAGAAAATAAACAAGCTTTAAAGAGAACAAGAGAAGTCGGTTTTTCATTTTTGAGATGACTATCTGACGTCTCATGGGATCGCGATGGCTATACTTCAGTCCAAGTTTAAACTCAGATTGAACCAGAATCAAAACTTTCTGGCACACACAGATTCTTGGTGCCAGCCGGGACTGAAGTGGAACTAACACTAATATCATCATCATTGTTTTCCGTTAGGCGTTCCTGATCCCTTTTATTGCTTGTTTTCCCGTTGCATTATAAGAATCTGGAAGTGGAGTTTAAAAACAGATAAGTAACTGACACCAGCTTAATGTCGAGGACTGCCATGAATAGGACTCTCAGAGCCTCCACCAACCTGCCTGGGGCCCCAAATCAGAGACTTAAGGGATGGCACAGATAGAATTCTCTGCTCTTCCTGAGCTGAGCTTATCTCTCCAGCAGCAGAACAGAGATGTCCAGGCCACAACATTTATTGAGGAATATAAGCCGTGATCCTTGCCATCACGGACCACGCTATCTACATTAAAACAAAGAAACATACTCAGGAAAATTTAATAGACAAGGTAATTTTCATTAAGTGACAAAGAAAATGGAAAAAGGAATGTACTCTGTTCCTGAGTGACCACAAGGGGCTTAGTGATGCAGGTGTGGCTGCATTTCCTTGTGTAGGATGTCTGTTGAAGTGGAAGGAGACATTTAAGAGAATCAGGTTCCATACAGGAACTACGTGAGAAAAGGTCAGTCTCAAAGATCTGCCACTTTCTCGTCAACTCACATGGACCAAGCAGCACTCACTACCCGGAAGCAGAGGGTGGTTGAAGATTTCCTTTACACAGGAAATGTAGATGGGGGTCTACAATCTCCCGCATCTAGCCCATCATTAGTTAGGCCAACTATAGGTCAAAAATAACAGGCACTGCTTAAATGTTTATAAGTTGGATCACAGATTTATTTTTTCCCAGGATCTATTACAGTGTTGGGTCATGAATGGAAGAGAAGAGAAATACCCTGAAAGCATCTGAAAAGCCCATAAATGGCAAAGAGCAGGGAAAAGAGGAGAGCAGAGAAGCCTAATTCCACCCACAGCGAAAGAGATTCTGAGAACACAGAACACGGGCACTGCCTTTGGCGTGGATGCTCTCATGACCCAGGCTGACTGAAAGAGGCATCAAGACAGGGTCCACGCTGCCGTCTGCCTTCCTTTTGAGCCCGGTCACTGGGTCTGTGGCTGTGGATCCCTGTTGAGCCAAGAAACGCCACACTTGGCTCAGCCACACACCATCAAGTGACTGGAGGGTCTGTACAGAGAATTCATCTACTAGTTGAATGCCCAACTTCTGAGGGCATTCTAAAATCCTAAAACCAAAGACTGGGAGGGTGGGAAGAGATAAACCAAAGAACTTATATGCATCTATGCACAACCAATGGACACAGACATTAGGTTGGGGAAGGCAGGAAGGGGGCAGGAGTGGCAAGGAGGGGGTCAATAGGGGGAAAGGGGAACATCTGTAATACTTTCAACAATAAAAATAAATAAGTAATTATAAATAAATAATAACAAAAATCCTGCAACCAGGACCCAGGAACTTAGGAGTCAGTTGCGTCTGAGTTTGGTATAGGACTTGAACAAAACCAAAGGCTACAGGTTGGAGAGGCCCTGGAGGTGCCATCTACCACCTGGGCTGGGAACAGTTAGCCTGGGAAGATCCCCGTGTGAGTGATTCTGTATCACTCACACAAATTTTCTTCCTTTGGATTCGTGTTGCTACAGGTTGTTCAGCTGTTAGCCGTTTGCAATTTGGAGTGCCTAAAAATCTCAGTAATGGAAGAATAAAATTGATTTGGGGGTTAAAATTCTAAATGATTTCCAGGCAACTTTAAAAAAATCAACTAGAGGTATCGCCTCACACCTGTCAGAATGGCCGCCATCAACAAATCATCAGACAACAAATGTTGGCGAGGGTGTGGAGAAAAGGGGACTCTAGTACACTGCTGGTGGGAATGCAGACTGGTGCAGCCACTATGGAAAACAATATGGTGTTACCTCAAAAAATTAAAAATTGAACTGCCATTTGACCCAGCGATCCCACTTCTAGGAATATACCCTAAGAAGCCTGAAACACCAATCAGAAAGAATATATGTACCCTCATGTTTGTAGCAGAACTATTTACAATAGCTAAGATCTGGAAACAGCCCAAATGTCCATCAGTAGATGAATGGATAAAAAAGCTGTGGTACATATACACAATGGAGTACTATGCAGCTATAAGAAAGAAAGATCTCTTATCCTTTGAGACGACATGGAGGGACCTGGAAAATATTATTCTAAGTGAAACAAGCCAAACAGAGAAAGACAAGTATCATATGATCTCACTTATTTGTGGAATATAATGAACATAACAGTCTGAGGAATGGGATAGTTCCAGAGATGTGGAAGTGGGGTACAGACTGACAATCCCCAGAAGAGGGGGTGGGGGGGAGAGATAAACCACAGAACTTATATACATGTATGCATGAACAATGGACATGGACAACAAAGCTGGGGACAGGGCAGGGAGGGAGGGAAAGGGGGGAATCAGGGGGGGGGAAGGAGAAACATCTTAACAAAAATAATTAAATTTTTTTTAAGTAAAAAATAAATAAAATGAAAAAAAAAATCAGCTAGCCTTAGGCAAGTCGCTATTTCTTTTAACTGTGAAAAAAAAAGAAAAACGGACCTTCCTTGTAGGAAAATAGTAAGGAGGGTTAGGACCCCCGTCCTTCCCCAGAAAGCTCACGTCTCCTCCCCATGGCCCCATCTTCTTAAGTAGACTCTGTTGTTCCTTAGATACAAAAAGTTTGCTGGGTCCTCCTACTGGGACTCTGACAGCCCGGTAGGCAAGACTGCTTTAAGGTTGAGCATCTAGGCTTGGGAAAGAGTGCTAGTTAGGAAGGAGTCACATACAGCTCATCACCTTATTCTCAGGAAGTGCCCCCACTTCCACCCCCCTCAGAGAAACAAGATATGCCTGTTGGGGAGTGAGCAGATCTCTGGAATCTCTGCCACTACATCCTCCTTCCCCATTCAGCTCCATTTCAACAATTCTACCCATGCACATAAAGGAGACATTACAGAGTGGTCTGGAATTCACAAAATCTTTTACTGACTTATTTTCTAAAGAGTTTTTTTAAACAAAAAGAAAAAACCAGGTGTCTTGGTTTTTTCCCAAATGCAAAGGTTTGGTTCTGAGTGAGAGATTATGAAACATTTAAACACCAGAAATTCTTAGTTCAGGGAATTAGAGATGTGTCACCAAATCGATGTGCTCCATATATTGAACAATATCTATGTGCCAAGCAAGGGCTACAAATAAAAATTGCATTGAAACAAAGGACCTTAGGTTGGAAACATGAAAGTGGCTTGCTCTCTGGAGGAGTCACTGAAAGCCGCCTTTGGCATCGGCACACCTGCGTTCCCGTCCAGGCTGTGCGCACAGGACCTCGATGCCACTCCTCTGGGTGGATGTCCATGCTCCCCCTGAATAAAGCAGCACAATGAGACGCTCCTTGCAGAGGTCATCAGGGGCGTAACCAGGCTGTATATAAACACTAAAAATAGTGACCATTACCATAGGCACGTGCTTAGCCTGAATTAACTCCCTTAATCCTCACAATGCTTATAAGAGTGGAAGTGGGTTTACTATTTTTATTTAATATTTTATTATTATGTAGAAGCTAATAAAATGTAATAAGCTTCAGGACCCCTCACTTGCACAGTCCCTCATCAATAAGTGATACTTGTGCTTTGTGTCAGCTTGTCAGGTGTGTCATTTGTTGTGATTTACTTATCATCTTAAATAAATGTTTACTTTAGCACCATGTTTTGCCATCATAATTTGGTATTCTTTTTCTTCAAGAGGTCCCTGCATATTGTGTGAACTTTACTCTCCTCTCAAAACCTAGGTCTACACCTGACTATGGGTAAAAACTATTAATAATTCTGTCTTGCAGATGATGAAACAGGCTTAAAGAGGTTATGTTTCCTGCCCAAGAATACACAGCCAGCCCTGGCCAGTTTGGCTCAGTGGTTAGAGCATCGGCCTGCGGTCCGGAGAGACCCGGGTTCTGTTCCCGCTAAGGGCACGTACTTCGGTTGCAGTTTGTCCCCGGCCCTGGTTGGTCGTGCGGGTGGCAGCCACTCGATGTGTCCCTTCACGTCGATGTTTCTCTCTCTCTCTCCCTTCCTTTCTCTCCCTCCCACTCTATCTGTACAAAAAATGGAAAAATATCCTCGGGTGAGGATAAAAAAAAAAAAAAAAAGAATACACAGCCAGTGAGTGGTGGAATCCAGATCTGAACGCAGGCAGTCTGGCTCTACTTGGAGCGCTCTTAACCATATACTTAATTGCTTCTTATTGCTTTTACATAGAGCTCCTAGTAAATTCTCTGGAATGTTATGGACCTTTAATAATGGCGATTATTATTTTGCAAATTAAAAACTACTTTTGTAATAACAGGAATACAGCCTTAGCCTTATTTAAAGAAACCATACCAATTTGAAACTTACAACACAGGTACATATGTAGTAGGCTGATTTTATACAAGAGAATTCCTTTTTAATATTAATTTCCTGGGAGAGTCTGAAAGCAGCATTATTCTAAGTGTGATCCATAGATCATCAGAATCATCTGGGCCCCACCCAAACCTAAGGGATCTAAACTGATGGGAGCAGAGGTCTCAGAAATGTGGATGTTTAATTAGGTCCCAGAGTGTCTTTTTGCACACCAAAGTTTGGAAAACACTGCTCACAGTAGTCCTGCTTTGGGTAATATTGTCTGCAGATGAGGTGGAGGATAAGTGCAAAAGGAATCTGAATCTAAAATGGTATTAGTAATACCTCCAATTAAAGGTAAATGACAAATAAGACAACTTCTCTGAAAATGCAATGCAATTTAATATTCAGTAATATAAGAAAAATTGACTTTACATATAATTTTGAAGACCATATTCTGAGAATAGAGCACAGACTACCTTTCCAGATACTATTCTTAGTTTTAAGTATACTATTACTTCTCTCAATTTTCAAAATCCTTTTAATTAAGTCATCTCTCATCCACATTCTAGAGAGTGGGAAATAGAGGCTCATAGACGTTAACTCTCAGAAAGTCTGATTCTAAAACCTGTGCTCTTAAATTCTACATCTCAATAAACAAACAAAATGTTTAATAGAGTAGTGATAAAGAGGCAAAGTTGCTAATTTTCATAAGACTCTATATCTTGAAGGTTTTTTTTTTATGACTTATTTTCAAGACGAATGAATAAGGCCAGGGGTTAAAGACAGACTGAAATCACTAAAATGGGCCAAAACTGTGTTATTTTATGTGGGAGATTTTAGAGAGTATTAAAAGCCTACTTGAACTTGCAGATGTAGAGCTTTAATCCCTCCTCCTAGTTCATAAACAGAATCTTTGTTTCAGTTCTTCCCACACTGTCCTTCCTCCATCCCCCCCAAAAAACTTTTTAAGATCTTTACCCGAAATTCCTTCCCTCAGCACTTCAGCTGCCCAAGCCTACCAGGCAGTGCCAACATTAAGTGCTGACATTGTTCCAAGCACTTCACGTCTATTAGCTATGCAATTCTCATCATCCTATTATTTCCTGCATTTTACAGAATTGGACATTGAGGCCCCAAGTAACTTGCCCAGTGTCACAGAGCTGGTACCCAGCAGCCTGGCACCAACCCCACACCCTTAACCACTTACTAAAACACTACCGTTTATTGAGTGCCCACTGTACACCTTTCCCCAGCTGAACACTTACAAGAATTCTCAAAAGGAGATCTACCCCCTGCTGTGATCAACATGAAGGAAGAGGGCAGGAGATTAAACCACTTGTCCAGGCCTCACAACTGTAAACAGCCAAGACCAACCTTTCTCTCTGGATCTACGGCCTGCACTTTCTCCACTCCATGCACAGCCTCCAGGAATTTTTATGGGTTATTCCCTCTGACAACCCTACAAGAGAATGACCACTTCTTCCACTTTGCAGGAAGCAAATCCATGAGGCAGCTTCAACATGAATGTAATCATCTGGTTTTAGGCAGATTCCATCTTCTGGATCTGCTCTGCAAACCAAGGTGCTAGAAAAGAGGGGAGGAAGGAGTATGCCTGCTTATCTCCTTCTCACATCATGTGAAAACATGCTTTACATGAAACAACTTAAAAGTAACTTACATGATATATGTGTAAGCAACACCAGCAGATGTAGATACGCACTGTCTGCTTGGGACAGAGCCATTTCTCCTTATAAGGTCTTTACACTGATATTCATGTGAACTTGTTTTATATTTTTCAAAAAGCTTTTCTGTTCATTCAACACTGTATCGGGGTTTCATGTTTTACCCACCTGTGAGATTAGGCCATTTAAACACAAACCCTGGCAGATGCACAGAATACTAACCAGGAGAACTGAGACCCTTCAGTCCCTGGTCCTCCGCCACCTGCTGGGATGTTCTCCCAATTTTCAGCTGGGAAAATCAGACGCTTCCAGGAGTTTGCAACTTTCCCTAAATTGAGCTTTCTTCCTGAACCGCTAGGAGCAACTGTAACAACACCCTGTCCCACACAGCTCTTAAAGAAGATCCTTGTAATTATTTAATTTAGGACTCTGCCTCAGAAATGACATTTAAAAAAAAAAAAAAAAACTAGCAGAAATCTGAGCAGATAACAGGAGTCAAGAAGATTTGGTTCTGCAGGACTCTGAAGTCCCAGACACAGTTTTGCAGGAAACTTCCCATCCAGACTCTTGCCACAAGTGACCAATAGAGAAGCGCTCTCCTAGAAGGTTGGGGAAAGGAGAAGAAAAGAAGGGACGGTGTGACAGGGTATGAGGTGGTCCCTCCCTTCCTGGCGTCCAGAAGTGGCCAAGGAACCTGTCCAGCGGCCACGCGCCCAAAGGAGGCGGTGGGAAGGGACAACAGCCAGTGCCCAGGGCCCTCACTGAGTCCCCCCAGATTTCCACTTACTTGTTCCGAAGTGTCACCCCATCTCTGCGCCTCTTCCAGCGACTCCGCGCAAAGCGGCAGCCCCAAGCACAGCGCCAGCAGCAGAAGCATGGCGGCACTGGGACGCCGTGGACGCGTGGGGAACAGCGTGGGGATCGGGCAGCGGCGCGCCCAGGGGACAGCGCCGGGACTCCCGCAGCAGAGGCGCACGGCCCCGCCTCCTCGCCGCTTCGCCCCCCGCGCGCCCCGCCCCCCGCGCCCCGCCCTCCCCGGGTCCAAGCTGCTCCCCCGCTGCGCAACTCGCCCCAAAGGTCCCCTCCTCTGCCCGTTCTTCAGCCTGGCCCCCTTACTCATTGACCGCAGGATTCCCCTCCCCCACTCCCTCCCTCGCCTTCTTCGCAGCCTTCTTCATCCAGCGCCTGTGACACCTGCCACCCCGCCCCCAACGCTTAGTTTTCTGCAAAGTGTGAAAGGCTTCTTCACGGACATGCTTCATTTCTGCAAGAGGACTCTGGAGGACGTAGCCCACCTCCCTGATCTGCTATATATACCACCCCCGTTCAACTCTTATACATACAGGTGCCCATCCTCCCTCCACCTGCTAGACTAAAGACAACAGCGGATCTTCTCTCTGCCCAGAGAACAGTACATTCCTCTTGACCTCAGGCACTGACGCTTAGAAGCCAAATTAAGAGATGCTAATTAGCAGTCTAATGCAAAAAGTACTGGCAGCGTTGTCCCCATTTATGCGGTTCTGCCGTAAGAGGATAGGAAAGAGGAAGCTAGAAGTGGTACCATGTAGTATTTCTAATTTTTTGGTCATTAATCATGAAAATGAATATCACTGTTATCTTAGTTACAAACTATTCACTGTCTTGGGAAGAATTATTACCTACCAGCCATCTATGCACAGCCTTTCAGAGTCTGGGCACCATCATTTTCGCTGGTAGATACACTGTGTAGCTGGAGCTGGCTTGTTTATTTCACCTTCCGAGAGACAATCACCTCAAAGACATTTTTATGTGTTGTAACAATTGTATCTAAATCGATGAGCTGAATAACAGTGAGTGGCTGACGACAACCTCAATGGCAAAGAACAGAGAAATGGCTAACTCAAATAATGGAACATCTATTCTGTGGAATATTAGGCAGCCATTAAAGAATAATCACGAGGTCTGTGGAAACCTGAAGAATGTTTGTAATATAAAATAAAGGGTAAGCCCTGGCCGGTTTGGCTCAGCGGTTGGAGCGTCGGCCTGCGGTACAGAGAGACCCGGGTTCGGTTCCCGCTAAGGGCATGTACCTCGGTTGCAGTTTGTCCCTGGCCCTGGTTGGTTGTGCGGGTGGCAGCCCCTCGATGCGTCCCTTCACATCGATGTTTCTCTCTCTCCCTCTTCCTCTCTCTCCCTCCCACTCTATCTGAACAAAAAATGGAAAAATGTCCTCGGGTGAGGATTAAAATAAATAAATAAATAAAGGGTAAAATCAGATTACATAATAGTATCAACAGAATGACTGTAATTAAGTATAAAAACATGCATGCATGGACATAAGAACTAGGGGAAAACAAGAAAAATAAAAATTGAGTGTGTTAGTCTGTGGTGATATCTCTTCTTAAAATATTTTATGTACTCTTGTATGTAGTATTTGAAAAAACCGCAATAGAGTGAAGCCGCGAAAGTCGAAGCATGAAGTGGTGAGGGACGACTGTAATGCTTTTTGTTCAAAAGAGACATCAGGAGAGGAAAAACAAACATGTTGCTAATGTTAAATAAATGAAAGGACACCCTCTGTCATTAACAGTTAATCATTCAATAGCTTAACCACAGGCTAATTTTAAAAACATGCAAACAACAAGAAGTGACAGTAGCTGATCCCACAAGATTTCTATGACAAAACCACAGGAAACCCAGCTGGTGTGTGCCTCAGCTGGTTGAGTGTCTTTTCATGTACCAAAAGGTCACTGGTTCAATCCCCAGTCAGGGCACATGCCTCAGTTTCAGGCTCAATCCCCAGTAGGGGACGTGATGGAAGCAGCAGATCCATGTTTCTCATGGATGTTTCTCTCTCTCTCTTCCTCTCCCCTCTTCTCTCTCTAAAATCAATTTAAAAGAAAAAAAAAACAGGTAAAGGAGAGCTTTGAACTAAATCAGAGGATGTTTATTTTAGAATCTTACCATGACTTTTGAATGTGTCTCATGATCCAGGCCAACTGAGAGGTGATCCCAAATCTTCTGGAATCTTTGGCCTATCCTCCTCAACCCCACCCCTCTCAAAAGAAAAACACCTACTTGTGAACTGAAAGTTGAATTGGGGGAAAGTCTGGTTGTTTGAAAGGGGACATAACAACTCTATTATTTCAGTCCTCCAACAGAACTGGGACCACACCTTGTCTTCCCTTCGTAGCACCCCTCTCCCACTCATTTCTACTTTTGTCCTCAAATCAGCTCTTTGCCCAGTTTACTCCAACTGATTTTTGCAGAGATCCACCATTAGGAAAAGTGAGTTTTACTTTCTGCGTCTTGTAGGACTCTCCAATTCTGCTCTAGGCCGCAGTGCTCATACATTGTTAATGTTTACTTTAAGGCCAGTTTCTCCAATTGGAACAGAAGTTCCTTGACAACTAGGATCTTCCCCAACTTGTAGACTGCTCTAAATGTAAGGTTATTGCTTAATGAAAATTTGGTAAATAGCATTAGGCTGAGGGAAAGGAGAGTGGAGGAGAAACTGTTCCATGACTGCCGTGTGTCCCGAAAGCTGGACCATGGCCAGAATGGAGGTTGCTTTGTGCAAAACCCTTTTAGAGACTGTCAGATTGTAATTGCTGTTCCTTCTGACATAAACCAATACACCTTCCTTGCCTCCTTTATTTGCTGTTTTCTGGAACAGGTTGTTGTCCTGACCTGGTCAAGCATTAAAGCAATTTCCTGTACCTGGTGGCATTCATGTATTAGTACTTGTGACTCTTCCTTTTGCCCTGTATCAGTCTTTGGCACCTGCCAAGTGGTGCAGGGATCCATTTCGTTTTAGAGCTGCCCAAGACACACCTTAACAAGCTCCATTAATTGCCAGGCTGGAGTGGCTAGTCTTTTTCTTGGGTCTTTCCCTGCCCTCTGCTTAGGGAGGAAGATTTTGTGTCTTAGAGCTTTTCCCTGAGTCTGCATATATATGAACACGGAGGCCCGAGCCGGCTGTGCTAGAGAAGAGGAGGGCTACGGTCTGAACTTGACTGCCATACAGCAACATGACTTGAGAGAACCTCTGAATTTCCTAGGATTGGCAAACTGGGACAGCCTAGGCTTCTGTGTGACCAAGTAGAAACGATCTTTAAAAACTGGGTAGATGTAATCAAAATAAGCCCCAGTGAGAAATTTCCAAAACTGTCGACCAGCATAGGCAATGATTTCTATTGGCCTTACAAATAAGGATGAAAAAGTTAACTGCCCCTCCCCTCCGGAAGGGGCTGAGGTGTCCCCACACACACTGGTCCTTTGATGACGTGTTTCTCATTTCACTTCCAGGAGGCCCTGGTTTTCCAGTTTGAAACGACCGAACTCCTAGAAGTTCAAAGCTGGAAAAGACCCTAAAGGACATCTCACTCAATCTAAATTTTTCCAGTCAGACACCTCAAGAGGTTTGCCCAGGATCACACACCAGTTAGAGACAAATCACCAGCAGAGAGAGCCCCGGGGCCTCACTGACAGAGTCTAAGCCCCCGGCTCAGCAGCAGGGGCAGACTCTGTGCCAGCTCTTTCAAGGAAACATCTCCCTGAGTAACTGAGGATGGGCCAAGGACCCCAAAATTTTAGAATCAGACTCTTTAGAGTTACCAGCAGTATCCTGGTCTCCCACTCGAGACTGCCAACTGATGGGCCCAAAGCCATGGCTACTCCAGCCAAGGCAGAGATTGACGAGGAGAAAGGCAGCTTGTCCATTGTTTTCTTTTTCACTCCCTTGAATTTAACCCTGACATCCCCCGGTTTTTGTATCCAGCTGCTCTGAGATTAAAGGCCTCCCCAAGTCCTCTGGGCCCCTTTCAGATCCACCCCCAGCTCCTTTCGAAGTGACTGTGAGGTCATTGTTCTGTTCTGGGCCAGCTCTTTTCCCCCTCCTTGGGCTTACCTTTTTATCTATTTATATGACCTTGAGTTTCTCTTGGACTCCTGACAACTTTATATAATTGCTATAGTTTCTTATAATCTTGGGCTGTTTGTTGTTGTTGTTTTCCTTCTAAATCAAAGAGATTGGGGAAGAAATGGGTTGCTATTGGCTTTGACTCTGATTTCTCAGGAGTCCACGATACCTTGGGAGTCTAGTTATACGGACTTTTCATCTACTTTACTAACCATTGAGTTTTATCCAGACACAAAACTTGTGGCAGAGGAAATAGAGAATGAAGTTATCTAACTTTTGGTGCAGCCAGTATGGTGATTCCTCAAAAAATTAAAAATGGAACTGCCATTGACCCAGTAATCCCACTTCTCAGAATATGTCCTAAGAAGCCTGAAACACCTGTCAGAAAGAATATATGCACCCCTATGTTCATAGCAGCACTATTTACAATAGCCAAGAGCCCATCAGTAGATGAGTGGATAAAAAAGTTGTGGTATATCACACAATAAAATACTATGCATCTATAAGAAAGAAACATCTCTCACCCTTCCCTTTGAGACAACATGGAGGGACCTGGAGAGTATTACACTAAGCAAAATAAACCAGTCAGAGAAAGACAAGTACCACATGTTCTCATTTATGGATTATCATGAACAAAATAAGCTGATGATAGAAATAGATCCAGAGACAAGGAAGTAGAAAACAGACTCATAAATCTCAGAGGGAAGGGGGATGGGAGGCAGGAAAAGATAAACCGAAGAACTTATATGCATATATGCACAGCCAATGAACACAGACAATAGTGTGGGGAAGGCAGGAGGGGGGTGGGAGTGGGGAGGAGGGGGTAAATGGGGGAAAAGGGATGGGGACATCTGTAATACTTTCAGCAATAAAGATAAAAAATATTTTCTAACTTCTTCAGACTGATTATTTGTTGAATTTATCAACTATTCACAAACAGTAACTCATCATATTTTAATTATCTGCTTACAGGTTTGAGACCCAAGTTGGACTCTGATTTCCCAGTGGGCATGGATTATCTCATGCCCATTTTTGGCTCTCCAGTCT